TTCTCGTGGGTATTAGTTCATGATTTCTTCTTTTACTCGACATTTAGGGTACTGATTTTTCTTGTAGTCTCTGTTTGTTGGGGTTTCTTTATGGATTCTCGTGGGTATTAGTTCATGATTTCTTTTTTTACTCGACATTGAGGGTACTGATTCTTCTTGTAGTCTCTGTTTTTTGGGGTTTTTCTTGATGGATTCTCGTGGGAATTAGTTCATGATTTCTTCTTTTACGCCACATTTAGGATACTGATTCTTCTTGTAGTCCCTGTTTGTTGGGATTCTTCTTGATGGATTCTCGTGGGTATTAGTTCATGTTTTCTTCTTTTACTCGACATTTATTTGAGTTCTCGATGATTCTTTCTGAGTACTGATTCTTTTTGTAACCATATTGGATCTAATCCAACAGACAGCCAACTACAAGCAACTCAAGAAGGGTGCTAACGAAGTTTTTTTTTTTTGTCTTTTGTTGAGATGTAACCAGGTTGTTATGGAAGTGCACACACACAACGGTTGTTATGGAAGTGACGATATAGGGGAAGAGATAACATTCTTTGATATGGAAGTGACGATATAGGGGAAGAAATAACATTCTTTGATGAGATGTAACTAAGGGTTGACGTTATGGCATTGGGTATATTATTAGTCCACTACTAGTTTTCCAGCTTGGGATGTAGTAAGTAGGTCCCCATCCATCCATCCATCCATGTACTTACTATCTCATTATTATACAAAATATATAGGGATTGATCGTTTGATTAGAATGTTAATCTGACATTTGGTTGAAGGAAAGCCAAATGTTGATGCGAGTGGCTGAATGCCAGTGATCTTTTTTGTCTAAACGCTACTTCCAAGCAGTGAGTGGTGTGGTGGTTACACACAATTCAATAGTTTTTTTTATTTATTATTGGGGTTTTAAAATTGCGAATCCGTGTGAATTGTGTGTATGTTTGTTGCAATGTTCAGATTTTCTGTTCCCTATGTTTTTTTGTTCCTCAAGCACTTTTTGGGTCGAGCTTGTGGCGGGGGATATTCTTCGCCATCGCAAAGTCTGCAGCACATTTGCAATCAACTAAATCAATTAGCCAATAAAAACTGCGCCTAACTTGTATGGCACAAGATAGGTTTTTATCAAAGACTACTCTGGAGCGAGAATTACACAACAAAGACAAGTGCCGCGAAGCCTGAGCTGAGCTGAAGGGTCAACTCATACTTGAACCGCAAAGGAAGTCCGTGTACCTGCTGTCACGCAAACCACTGAAAACCAAAAAGTCCACAATTAGTTTTTTAAGTCCATACTAGTCACAAAGCTCTTAATATAACACAACATAAAGGAGGAGTGTTACCATTTCACTGATTAGGTATTTGATTCTGTGGTTGTGCAAAGAAGTCTTTGGCATTGCGTGCCACCTCTGCCTCCACCACTGCTTCTAGCAGAATATCGCAACCTTTTGCTTCTTCATCTGACATCACATCAAACAAAAAAAAAACAAACAAAAGTTGTTTCAGATGATATATATATATATATATATATATATATATATATATATAATCCCTAAACTAGTGATGCAAGAGATAAAAAAAAATTGAGTCAATTACTCCTAGTGATGCAAGAGATTAAAAAAAAAAAAAAGGCATAAGAAGACTTTACTAGAAACATTTAAAAGAGGTTTAAGTTGTCTTTTAATTAACTAGAGATATTGTCCTGTACGGAACTTAGCAGGTAAAGACCTATGTAACTTCACTAGAGATTTGTTACTGTTGTACATGCTTGAAACCCAAACAAAAGAGAGAGAGAGGAGCAAAAGAACTATTACCTCCCAACTAATGAACCAACATTTACTGTTTTTAACATTTGATGGATTAATTGTAACATTATCTTTTTTTCTGTCCCACTCCAAGAGAAAATCCAAACTTTTGACACATCAATCTATCTAAAGAGAATGTGAAAAATTAAAACTAACAAGTTTCTGCTGTCATAGATAGATCTCAAATGCTACTTGATCAAATGGTCCATTTTTAACTAATATTAGATTCAATTAAATTGATCTAGTTCAGGCACAGTTTGGTTTTAGGTTAACCATTATTTACTTCTTGAAGATCCAGATCTGTTGAAGGTCCAAATTCTCTATGTTGTAAGCATTTCTGTATTATTTTCAAGAATGTAATCATCAAGCATGCATATCATGGGAGGTCCATCTGTGAGAAATCAGTTAAGCAAGTTTCTGCAATCAGTCGAGGAATTGGACTAGGAAATTTTGGTCAAACATGGAGAAGAATCAAATGGATTCTCCAAAACTTCAAGCATACATACATATCATGGAAGCTGCACTTATGTGGAATCAATCAGAGGAATTGGACTAGGAAATTTTGGTTGAACATGGAGAAGAATCAGATGGATTCTCCAAGCTTCAATTCATCAAGCATACAAAGGCAATAAAGAAGAGAGGTAGCTCCAAAAGAGAAACACATCATCTGCTTTACTAAAACCTTGATTAAAACCAACAAATCAAACAGAGACTTCTGAAACTTCTGCGTATGAAAAAAAAAAAAAAAGACAAAGAAGCTACAAATTAAGAATCTAAAATGAGGTAGAAGACATTTTTGTTTTCTTGTTTGTGACATCAAAATATATATAGAAAAATCCAAAATTTTCTCACCCAGTATTCTTTACGGAACTCATAGTGTATAAAATCTAAACATAACTGCACCTTATGAAACTTACTGGTCGCTGACATTTTAGTCTCGGTCAATGACATTCACTTTCATGTCCATTGCTCAATCATCGTCTTCTTTCTAAATATCTTAAGAGTCCTTTAAAGTTAGCCTATTTTTCCTAGTCCAATTCATTTGACAAAAACTTCATAGAATTGGTACAAAATATATAAAGTAATTCAACCTAGATAAAAACATGGAATTCTATCAGCAGCAGAAGTGACTAGAGATTTACCACGATGCTTTGGAAGTAATCCCGCAGATTCAGCAGAGACAGGCAGAACAGTCAGCAGATCGCCTTCACCATTAAGTTTCAACACATCTTCATGAGTTTCAGAAGAACTTAATTTGATATTTGGAGCTTCAGCTAGCCTCGCATAAGCCATTGCTTGGCTATGCAGACTGGAAGAAACTGAATTTGCTCTAGTCAGATCCTGGAGAGTGAAAATGAATACAAGAAATAAGCAACTTGAGATGCATAAACATGATAACATAATTATCTGGGTTGAGTGAAACCTTAGAGATTGTTGCTATTGGCTGATTCTCTCCATCAGGTTTTGCAGCAATGTCAAGGCCTGATAATATCCTTGAAAAGGCCTTGTTATAGTAGAAATTCCAAGAAGCATTGTGCAAAAATACAAAGAATAAAGGGACCTTGAAATAGATCAGAACTACAAAGTTTGCTCCATACCAGTGTTTTGCACTTGTTCTTGTCCATCCAGCCTCCGTGTAAATGGACCTGGGTTTATGATTGATATGCTACGTATTTCATAACGAATTGCTTCTAATTGAGCAATGGTGTCTTGTAGTTCTTTGTGTACCTAAGAATGTGATACTATGAGGAATACAATGATATATAGGATAAGTTACATGAGCCAGATCAGCATGATTCTCTTAAAGAGAAACATAATGTTCTATTGTCCAGAACAATCAGCAAGAGATACTATCATATACACCACATTGAATAGGATTTATTGTTCTCAACTTCTTTCAATCAGATAAAGAATAAGAAAACAAATGACAAAATAAGAAGGCCTGGTAGATCTTTTATGTTTCATTAAGTTCTAGTTTGTTGCATGCATGGTATTGACAAAAGGTTACAGACACTTCACTTTCTTTTCCTCTAGAAAAATCGAGTTTCGCCAAGAGAGAAACACAATTCATGAGGATTCCAAAAAAATAATAGAAATGCACGACTGTTTAATCTTTTTAATAATCCTTGCTGTTCACATTATTTAAATTTAATCATTAATGCCTCATCTATTTTTTTCTTGTCCATTAATTTTTCGTTGTAATTTAGTCCTAGTTGTTTCCAGTGTCCACAAAGTAACCCATGCTACAAATCCATAATTCTTGTGATCCATGCTGCACAAAATTTAAACCAGCACATAATTCACTTATGGTGACACAAGATATCCATAACCGCCAATGCTGTATTCATACCACCTATTGTCAGCTTGCTAGAAATTTTTCCACATTTTACGCAAGAACCATGCTTTAGCAACGTTCATCACAATTCCTCATACTTTCCTCCTTTCTCAAGCTTCATATTCCAATTGGACATCCCAATGCCACAGCTTTATTATTGCCTGGATACATCATGTGCTACTATGATATTTTGTCCTTAGAAATGGATAATTTTTCATTAAAATAGAATGACATCTTGTTGGCTTCCTGGAGAACAAGAACATTCCTCATGTCAACAACTACCTTGTGCATGGGCTATTTAGTTAATAGATACTTCAGAGCAAGCAGGGTCATTTTCATTATTAATAAATTATTTCATGAACAACCAACTCAACACATGCCTAGTTTAGATATCAAAGTTTTTCTTTCCCAACAAGAAGTATAACATATAGTGACCGGTTAAATTATATACAACATAAAAAACTTGAGAGTTTAGATATCAGGTCACCAAGCATCATGAACATTAAAGATATGTTATAGCTATTTCTGGCACCTACTCCAATCATCTAGTTAGCAGGCTTTCGATGTTAATTTTCGGTCAATTGTCCTGAACTGATGCCTAGGCTTTCTTAAGAAACTCCATTACTCCTAGCTATACTCATGGTAGAAACAAAAGTTTATACTCAAGAAATTTCCTTTCCATAGCTTCTGCACATGTCATCATAACATAGCTATTTTCAGTTTGAAAGATCCGCCATATTCTTTGTATTACGTAAGTCTCACATAACTTCAAATCATTTCATATATCATTTTATATTGTATTTTTCAACTCAAGAGCTTCATTGGAAATAAAATTAACATATATGCTAGTGTTTCAACTTAAATTTCTCACATAACAAGCAAAAGTCCTGTTTCAGAAAGGAAGGCCAAACAATTTTCTCCACAAAGTCTACTTCTTAATTACTTTGTGAATCCTGTGATGCAGACTATGTCCTAAAGAAACTTACGTGGCAAAAGAAAGTGATCTTGGAATAAGTCAAAAGAAATCCATTTTCACTCATATGCAACTGAAATGAGTTGCAATTCTCATATTATAAACAAATAGCTAACTTAATATGCAAAAAAAAAAAATCTATGACAAAGAAGCTGAATTGCTTTCAACCATTCATGTCTTTGGAACAATGGTTCTAGAAAGCTGAAGTCTCTACGTACCACTGGTTATCTACAAATTGACATTTAGTGTAATGCCATCATAACAGGCTAAACGACACTGTCATGTAACCTTGCATGACTTATAAATTACAATTAGATATTAACTGAAGAAAGCTCAAAAGCATGGGATCTTGAGAAAGAAAGCAACAACAAGAAAAAGATAGAGAAAGACTGCATCTGAACAACAGCAATATTTAGATGCCTGCATTCTACTGATCAAGCTTATTCCCTTCCATGAGACATGCAAACTGTTCATAGCAAGTCACTTGTATCATCGCATGTTTATGAAAAATAGATTTATTCATAGACAACTGAACTTAGCAGAAAGAAAAAGTAGCACCACCTTGTTAGCCTGAGATTGCTGCACAACTGTTTCAAACTGCCCACGAGCCAATTGAACATACCCAATCGCTCTTCCTGCGAGTCTCCCAGCCGTCCTAGCAATAACTGGGAGATCCTTTGGGCCTAATTATATTGGAAGGCAATAATGAAGTTAACTATACTGATAATAGTAAGATCTACAATTCATTAAATAAAAATTTAAGAAATTTATTCTCAACAAGCTAAAGAAGGTATACCGATAAGGGCTGCTGTAGCCCCTAGAATAAGAAATAGCTCTCCGTATGAAATTCCAAACATTAAACTACTGGATTTTACACAGCAAACTGTTCCTGCATTTAAACCATGAAATATAAGAATGCTCAAGGTACACTTCATTGAAATGATGAGCTTTTAGTTATATATCTGGCTTTGAAGCAATCACTTGTAGATGCATAACCAGAGGACTCGTCTATCATGCTTAAGTATCATTTATATGTATCAATGTCAAAAATTAGAATATAACCATGAATAAAGCATCAGCAGATCCAAATATCTCAAGGGAAAGGCATGACAATGCAAGATCATAAAACTTAGCTTCTTCTTGCTTTGTCAATTGCTTACACTTCAACACGGGGAGACATCATTCAAAATCTCATAAAAATGAAATTTCTTTAACCAGAGTAAATCAAACGAGGATGCAGAAAACATATGATAACTTCCACCAGTGAAAAACTACCCATATGTTTAAATGAAAGGAAGTGGAGAGTACAGGTTGCCAAGCAACATTTAAGGAACATGGAAGAAGGGGAATGATGTTTGCAATAAGTTGTACAATGAAAAGGCTAAAGAAACTCTTCTTGTTCAATTTAATTATCTGAATTGGAAAAATGCAGTCTGTGTGAAAGATCACACATGTAGATCCGTTTCTTAACTAACAAACTGACCATATTATCTTCGAAGATCAGCAAACAGAAACATGCCGAGTGAAGAACTTCCATGGAAATGTCACAAAAATGCTCAAAGAAAGCCACTGACATCTGCAATCTAAATGTTGAAAGCAAGAAGACTAGTGCGGCCAACAACAGCAGGGAAGAAAAGCGTTCAAGAACCAGATGATTGAAACATATGCAATATGTATTTAGCAGGAGCGCAAAAATCCCAATTACATACGGTGTCTCATAGATGCCCAAAGAAAGGCAAACTATTTCAAGAAACTGACAAGTCCATCACCGATGGGATCCAAAAACACACCAAGATTTGCCAAATCCATCACCCCACACCGGCTGGGCCGGAGAACCAACGACGAAACATCAAGATGCCAAGATAATTTGTCCGATAACGATTATATATCAAGAAAATTCATACTACCAAAAGCCCCCAAGAACCAAAACCGCTCACCAAGACGCTAAGAACAGAAGAACCGACGATACCAATCGGCGGAAAAGGAATTTAAAAAAAAGAAAGCAAAATATTTCGAGAAGCTCACAAGTGGATTGCCCATGAGATCCGAAAACGCACGTAGATTTGCCGAAATCCGTCACTTCCCGCCAGCTGGACTGGAGAAACAACGGGGAAACTTCAAGACGCAATAGGAGAATAATCCCAAGATAAATCGGCTAGTCACGATCAGAGATCAAGAAAATCCACGCAACAAGAATCCCCAAGAACCAAAACCGATCACGAAACGCTAAGAACAGAAGAACCCATGACTACCAATCGGCTAAAAAGGTACCAAAAAAAGAAAGCAAAAAATATTTCAAGGAGCTGCTGACGAGTGGATCGTGCATGCTATCCGAAAACGCACCAAGATTTGCCGAAATCAATCACTTCACGCCGGCTGGACCGGAGCATCGAGGGGAAACTTCAAGATGGATCGGCCGGTGACAATCAGCCATCAAGAAGATAGATTCACACAGCAAGAACCCCCCCAACAACCCAAAACCGATCACCAGTACGCCAAGAACACCGTAATCGACGGGTACAAATCGGCTAAAAACCCACCAAAAACAAAAGGAAGAAGAAAGCGTATCGACCAGCACGAAGCGACGACGGATCAAGATTCGCTACCTTGAAAACGGCGACGAAGGCGACTCAGGAAGAACACCCCGCGCGCGCTAGGGTTTCCTTGCGCCACCTGCGAACGCCGAGACCACCGAGCCGGCGAACAAGATGACCCGCAGTGGGTTCGTTGGGCCAAGGGTCAGGTGAGTAGACGTATGGCCCATCTGCATTATATAGTAGAGTAATATGGGCCACAATGGGCCTAATGAGTCCTTGGACTTTAACACGAACCGGAAACGCCGATCAAACGTGATCACGACTTGCACGAGATTTGATGCAGATATCCTTAATTCCTGTTTTATCTAAAAGACTCCTTTTCTTTATTTTTCTCTTCGATAATAATTATTTCTTTTAACAAAATGAAATAAAAGTGTGGTCATAACACTGCGACACTTCAATCTAACGTGCATGTACTGCCATGCACGTACAACGTGGCCGGATTAGTCACGCATCGGCCAACCTATCTCGCTGGCTCCTGCCACACCTGTACTTGTTATCCAACAGCTCGCTGTGGTCTGTCACAGAGTACAATTCGTCGATCCAACATTATTACATGCAACTCTTCCTCCATCTAATTCACTTGTCCTCCATTATTATCCTTACTTGCGCCACTCTCTCTCTCTCTCTCTCGAAAGATCTACATACATCTGTGTGTATTCGGACCCATGCAAACCCTTGCTTAATTAGATGCATGGATAAGTGGGTGGATCGATTCAATGCATGCTGTCTGCTCATCGAGTCATTCACTCAATGGTCTCTCTCACTCTCTCTCTCTAATCATAGACAAAGGCCTGTTAAGATGGACAGCGTCACATGGATCGTCTAATGAGACATTAAATTGTGGAACCTAATGAGCATGTGGATAAAGACACCATCCAACCAATGGAAGCCATACGAATCCATGAAATGGTGGTGCTTATCAAGAAAAAGAATCAAAGTAGGGACCGTAGATCTCAAGTCGAGGATGGTTGGTGCGACTTAGCAATCACATATTGACCATTGTAAAGTACGATGAGACTGCGGTCGTCCTCCTCCCTTGAAGCTCCATAAGGCTAGGTTTTACTCGAGTGCATGTCTTCTTAGCTCTTACCATATGAGACCAGTCACGTTCTATTGAAACTGACACGCACACATCAAGAATGACAACGACGACGATCGATATATGGTTAACCACATATCATCTCTTTTTGTTCTTGTGGAAATTAGAACAGCCATTATTGCTCAACTGTGATTACAGTGAGCTCCATTAGAATCTTGCAATCACAGCCAAGTCAAGGACATGGTTGTTGCCACGTCCTAATCTTCCAACTTTTTGCTTGGACACTTGTATATGGGGATGTAAACATAGCTCGTTTGCATATTAAGTTCCTGGAATATTTTCCCTATTTTACGGTGCCAATTTCTCTATACTGCATTGTGATCCAACACTTGTTGAGGATGTCTCTATTCATGCACGATTCTATAAGGGTGTCTCTGTTCATAGTCTATGTAATTAGTTCACGATTATATTACAAGTGACTTAACGTATTCTAATGCAATATTAATGCTATTAGATCGAATTAGCCTCGCACTAAGAGACAAGCCCAAGGTTAAACATAGCATGGTCGTAAGAGGAGAGTCACAATCGAGGGCCCTGCGACGGCTTGCCGTGAGCTGGAGGCCAAAGCTGTCGTGGGGCTCTCATCCTAATAAAGCAGAATCCCACTCTTCCTTCTCTCTCAGCTATAAAAGCATCCCCCTCCGGAGAGACATCTCACTGCTTCTGCCTATTACCAGTATTGGCAGGAGGAGGAGGAGGAGGAGGAGGAGAACAATGGGACACACCACTATCTTATCTCTTGCCTTCTTTATCCTCGCCCTCGTCGCATTCGCCGGCGCACGCCCGGCCAATTTCCTCCAAGACTTCCGCATCACCTGGGCAGGAACTCACATCAAGCAGCTGCAAGGCGGCAGTGCAATTCAACTGATGCTCGATCCCTCCTCTGGTACTTCCTCTCACTACAGCACTGCGTTCTCGCTACAGTACTCATAAGTTTTCCGTGGTCAACTCAGGTTGTGGGTTCGCTTCCAACAAGCAGTACCATTACGGACGCGTTAGCATGAAGATTAAGCTCATCCCCGGCGACTCCGCAGGAACTGTCACCGCTTTCTATGTTCGTGTCTCGTGTTTAGTTTCGATGGCATGCATTCTTCACGTCCGTATGGTACACAAGCTTGAGACGATGGTTGGGTTTTGCAGATGAATTCGGACACCGACGCCGTCCGCGACGAGCTGGACTTCGAGTTCTTAGGGAACAGGAGCGGTCAGCCATACACGGTCCAAACCAACATTTACGCTCACGGGAAGGGCGACCGGGAGCAGAGAGTTAATCTCTGGTTCGACCCTGCGGCAGACTACCATACCTACACTATCCTCTGGAACCATTTCCATGTCGTGTGAGTTCGCCCGCCTCGTTCATGCATATATTCTCTGGCATTCTCTCTGTGACGACGACCGAATTCTGATTGCTTCATGGCACGTGCAGCTTCTCCGTCGATGACGTGCCGATTAGGGTGTACAAGAACAACGAAGGCAGAGGGATACCGTACCCCAAGGTGCAGCCCATGGGAGTGTACTCCACCCTGTGGGAGGGCGACGACTGGGCGACGCGAGGTGGGCTGGAGAAGATCGACTGGAGCAAGGCGCCCTTCTACGCCTACTACAAGGACTTCGACATCGAGGGCTGCGCCGTCCCCGGCCCGGCCAACTGCGCCTCCAACCCCAACAACTGGTGGGAGGGGTCGGCGTACCGGCAGCTGAGCCCGGAGCAGGCCAGGAAGTACCGGTGGGTGAGGGCCAACCACATGATCTACGACTACTGCACCGACAAGCCCCGGTACCCGGTCCCGCCGCCGGAATGCTTCGCCGGCATCTAAGATATATAGCAGAGTGTGTGTGTGTGTGTGTTTGTGTTTGTGCCGATCAGGTGAAAGGCATCATGCAATAAGGTTCCATTTGTGCTCGAGTCACACTGTTTATCTTTACTCTGTCATTGTAGCGTGATTATCTACTTATGCAATAAGGAAGAATTGTATTGGATGTAATTTACCGGAATAAATGAAGAACAGTTTTATTGGATGAGACGTGATTCCATCTTACTTTGTTGTCATCAGATTCGTCTCCGTCTCCAATTAGGTGTATCTTTTATACTCTCTTAGAAAGTAAGATTAGTCTTAATTCAATCTGTCTTCTCATTCATCATTGTACAGTTCCAACAACAACAATAAAGATCTGTCTTTCTCTCAAAAAAGAGATAGATCGGGACAAAAATAACTAAGATTAAATACACCTCTTCTTGATTTCTGTCTTTCAAAACTTAAAAATCAATAATTACTTAACTCAAAACTCGAACCCAAAAAATTTAAAATCTTTCTCTCATTTTATTTAGAAACCTTATAGATATCACTCTTTCGAGAGAGAAACACCGTAATACTTGATTTATCTTTTTTGTTATAATGACTCTATAAATTTTAGAATATTTATCGATCCCAATAGATCTAAAAAATTATATTGATAAGTTTTTTTACAAAAATAAATCAAAATGATAATGATAATGGCAATAATTAAAAGCAATAATGAACCGTAAATTTTGGCGTGGCCCGCCGGTGGACACACTTTGTCTTGTTCCGTAAGGAACAGTCTAAATGTCTGAAGCATGCTTGCATAAAAAGCTGGAAGAATCGACCACTGTCGAGGTTGGATCAGAAGCATCCAACAGGAGCGCTGCAGACCAATGGTCACCATGCAAGTACCTACGTGATCTTTCCCCATTGGACAGCATGAAGAAAGCATGTATTATTTTGCCTCGGATTGATTGTCAAGTTAAAGTTACTTAATCGAATGCTTGAGATCGGGAAATAGGAATTAAGATGACCTGCCGACAAGATGATGGATAAAGACGGCGTCTTTCGATCTGAACATTATCGAATGCAGTCAAACATTTCGACAAGCTAATGTGCATGGAAGATGGCATAGCAGAAGAATCTAACTTCGAAGAGGCATAGACGACAAAATACAACCGATAGCATTACCGACGATACGGTCAACACAGATACAACACAAGATGGGGGTGGACTTCCAGTGTTCCGATGAAACCTTAAGAGCTCGCTCGTGGCACACAATATGCATGGTTGCAGCTCAGGGACCGAAGCGATACAGACCTTCGCTCATGAAGTGGCCGTCCATGTAGAGAGCAGCAGCATTTGGGGCATGGTACCCATCCATCATGACGAACTGCATGTCCTCTGATGGTTTCCAGTGGCGTTTCCTTTGGTTTATGAACCAGTTGTTGATCTGCTTCATGTCGAGTCCGGTGGATTCCGCCAATGCCGCCTTCTGCGCCTCCTGTTCATGGTTATACGAGCAGGTTCACCATCGATGTAGTGCTTTGGCTAGTTTTGATGATAGAGAGAAGAGTACTTACCGAGGGATACGGCCATTTATAATGCAACTCCCACCAGTTGAGCAGCTGCTGTCGAGCATCCTTGGGAAGCTTCCCTTTCTTCTTTTTCTTGGAAAGCTCTTGTTTCAGGCTGCTCAGGTATCCACCATACTTCTTGAGGAGATGGTGTTTCAGCTCTTGGTCCTCGGTGCATGGATCGAGCTCCATGATATCCATTTCTCCGCCGCTGCCTTCTTGGTTCTCTTCGACGGAGCAAACTCCAAACTTGTCATCTAGCATCAAAACAAGCAAAAATGCAACCATCCATTTGTAATTGTAGGCATAACAAGACACTTCGCATTCGCAGTCACCCTACCCGAAATTATAGTATCGATTAGGATGGATACAGCATAAGAAATAACCAGTAGAAACAAATCACATTCCGTCAATCATCCATCAGCAATACTCATTCAATTTTTTCAGTTCATGTGCAATGAGTGACACCAAAGTCTGAAATTGAAATATGGATCGACCACACTAAAACGCGATACTTCATGTCTCACCCTACCTAGAGAAATATATTGGGCTTGTCTATTACTCATCCACAAGATTATGACAAAGAAATTAGTACAAAAAACAAATAAATGCAGGACAAATAAGAAAAGATTGTTTCTAACATCATTGTGACAGGAACTCTATCCTCTTTAGAAAAATGACAAGTCATGTGAGTTAGCAAAGATCAAGTAAAATCATGTCATTTTATCGACATGGGTGTTCTTTTGAATTTACAACTCAATATTATGATAGCTGCAGTTGAAGTTCTAATGATATCATGAATTATCAAAATCAAAATTTCCAGTGGAACTAGAATTTAATAGTTTGTGCATGTGAGAGGCTGCCAGAGAATTTGAAAAGGAATTCTCAACATGACAGTCATACAAGTTCGATTCCGAGAAGTATTCGCCAAAAATTTCCAATCATGATGAAGCTGATCAAGCCTCATTTTTCAGATACCTAATTTCAATCAGATTTTCAGTGAAGCAAACAGGCGTTTCAAGCCACTAAAATCTCATTTAAATTTCAAAAAGAAAAAAAGGAAAAGAAATATTACATGTTAACTAATCAAGCACACTAATCTACATTAATATCAGCTTAAACAAAGGTGCAGAACTTTGATCTTCTATTGAATATGCATTGCTGAGATTGCTTAAGCATAGCTATCATCCATAGTATGAGTTCACTCGGATAACATTTCCATCTCATGTCAGTGTCAGAACCAATGGATTATCAGCACACAGCCATCTAGAAAATAGTTCCATTCGGATTTTCATTACATATGTAAGAGAAAAATGTTCTACTGTAGATTATGTATAGATCCACTAGATGTTCTTGAGAACTCAAAACCTTGTTAGATTTATAGAAATTTCACGTAAAAATGCACACAATTTATATACTTTGACCAATTAATAATATACATCACACCCGGCATGGCACCGCAGTGTGACAGAAGGATTACGTGGGAGTTCTTGAGAGAAATGGTAACAGCACTACATCAATCGTGAGACATAGTTGCTACCTAGACTGACCACACCAGACAGAGACCGGGCACAATATTAGATTCGAGCTCAGGAAAATTGGGAGTGATCCCTTGATCGTTCTTGAGCTGAAGGGGAATCAAGATTTTGTCCATGGAACCCTAAGAGAAAGCCCACGACAGCATTCAAGAAGCTGTTCTTGTGGACTCCAAATGCATCTTTCGGTCGGGCTTCCTCGACTCCTCTCCAACTTTCTACTAGACTATTATGTCTTTAAGAAGCATGCAAGTTATGTGTGGAGGAAGAACGTGAGACGGCTACCAGCGTAGCAGCCTTGACGCAGAGCAGGAAATGTGGGCACCTTAACTCTTCCATCGATTGGATTAATTATACTGTTGTGCACAGTCATGTGGAAGAATAGATAATAGAGTAAAGGAAGATAAAAAGACTGGAGACAGGCCAGAGGAGATCTTTCATTCAGACTTGCGGGAAATAAGGGATTCTCCTCGTAAAACCGCACGTACTTCGCCTCCTGACATACGGCAGTGGCGCACCTCGGCATTGCAGTGTTGAAATCTACAGAAGACTGAAACCCTAAAACCAACTCTTTTCCCATCTACTATCTATGTGGAGAATGGTTTATGATGAGACAATATAGACTTAGTATGTGATTCCATCTTGGATTCTTAACCTGTCATCTTTGCTTTTTCTGTAATCTTCTTCTTCTTCCAAGGAAAGGTTTAATCTGACTATCGTTTTCATCAGAAGGAAGGCTCAATTACCATTGGATATTATGCGAAGGGAACCAGTGTTGTCCGAGATGGAGTTGAGCTGAGACTCCATTCTTCCAAGGAACTCCATGGCCTCTTGCAGCGGCCTTGACAGCTCTTCTCTGTACTTGACGAGCATATCATGGTACGCCTCCTGTCACAACTCGCCAAGCCAGAAAACATACGTGACATACTCGACAGAAAGAGACCAGCAAATGTTCGGCTATAAGCAAGGAAGAAGGTTAGAACCATGAACTGGTCCAGCTCTGGGTCTGCTACCGCGTCGCGGCAGATCAAACTCGCCCGCTGCCTCATCTCAAACTCTTGGGCAACGGCCGAGAGCCGCGCAGCTACTTCAGGTGGCGCTCCCACCTGCAAACACGCAAGAGAAGTGTTAGCGGAAGGGAAGCTCGCGGTGAGATAAAGCTCGGGCCATCGAGATGATGAGTGCCTTTTGGCATTCTATGTAAGCAGAGACAAGGCTGGAGTACTGCGGATGGGAGACGATTTTAGCCTTGATGGCGTCAACATCGCCTTGTGGGATTTGAGAAGTGGAAGCCACATCGGGTTTTGCTTGGAGCAGGTTGGGGTTTTCGTGGTGGTCGCTGGGCAGAAAAGGGTTCGGAACGCAGTATCTTCTATCGAAGGCAGAAGCTGCTGTGGCAGTAGTTTGTTTGGCCGATGAAGAAGGGGTGCACATCAAGCCTCCCCATGGATTGCTTCCCAGCTGGGAGAACTCCTCCATTCCAAGTATCAGGCTTCCAAAATGTTGGAAGAACTAAGAAGAAAAGCTAGAAAGTAGTACCCTAAGGGAGATGAGAACACTGAGAACCTGGAAGAGGCCAAGGGAGGGAGATGGGCTGGAAAGCAACACCGGGCGCACACATGCACACACACACACACACACACACACAGAGGAAAGGTGAATGCAAGTGTGGTGGTTTTCTTTTCGGACGTCAAATCGTGCAGATAGGGTTTAGCTTTGCAGTGGCGGTAGAAAGACTGGAGATGCAAACTCAAACATCATGAGTTGAGTTACACTTTATGGATAATGTTTTCCGTCCCCAGTAATCCCCCCAAGAAACATCTCCATGAACTCGATCATATATCGACCCACAACACAGGTCTGTGAGAGACTCACGCAGATCAACAAGGTTCTGCGAGAAGAACAGTAGATGATCCTTCAATCATAAAAAAAACACTCTATTACAGTGGAAGCGTACAGCGACAGTGTGGAAACCAAACACACACCACATGTTGAGATGTGATTGGAGCTCATGGGCTGGTGGGGATGCGTTGTCGAAGTACCGTGTGCTCTCTCTCACTCTCTCTCTGTGCATGTTATTAGCACTTCGATCAGACCTGCAGAGAAGAGAGAGAGACCAAGAGGCAACACATCTCTCTGTCTCTCTCTCTCTCTTTCTCCTGTCACACACAACCATCCTGTTACTTGTTCTTTGTTGGGACGCGTGTTGTTACGTCCGCTGTAAAATTGCCCTTTTCTCTGCCTTGGAAGTTGGAGATGGAGGAGCTCAGTTGAACGAAATCTCTTCTTCTCACAAAGTTAGCACTGAGACAGGTTAATTATTCTCTCCTCCTCCACCCGTACTACTATTATTTGACGTGACTTGTGCAGCTTACTAGTTTCATTGCCATTAACTCTTTAATTGGCTGTGAACTAAAGGAAACATCAGTTCAAGCGTTCATGCATCCCACCTATCTCAGGGCTAGAGTTCTAAGACCTGTCTGTGTGCTTTGGTTGTGTTGTGTGCTTCCCACCGTCTCATAACTCGGAACTTAGGTTAAGAAAATAGTTGTCAGTCAGCAGAGGTAGGTGATGAAGTAAGCCTAAATGAGATGAGAGGTAGGGAATGATAGGGAATAAAGTAGACGGCATGACGATGGGATAGATGAATAGTGGATCATATATAGTTGATGTGTCTTTTGTTTACTACTTTCCCATAGTCTTTTTATTTTTGTCTGCTTATGTAAAGTTTTGCAACGAATCTTATTTTTTTAAATATATTTATATATTTTAAATAAAAAAACTAACTTTTTTAAAATAAAAAATAATTAATATCATTAATATCGATTCTAAATCGAGATGAAAAATATAAAAATTATATCAATCTTATGAATATAAATATTAATTAATATAAAAAATTAAATAATCGACATCAAATAATTGAGACTTACGAATTTATTATTCTTATTGTATTGTAGAAATAATATAACTTTAAGTCATTTGAAGATAAAATCATATAAATTTGCCTAACATCTTTGGAAATTAGTTTTAGAATGGGATTTGATAGTAGCTTGAAATGATATTTATTAGTAATTTAACCACATTAAAGGTTATAATTATGCTAAGTTTGTTGTTTATCAATTATTTTCTTATTTCATAATTTGAAACCTTAATAATTATTCTATATGATTGCATAAAATTTTTAATAAATTTTGAATTTTTAAATCCTTTAGTTAGACTATTTTTAAATGGGATTACATTATTTTTCAATAAGAGGTTAATAAATAATGTAATCTGACTCAAGTCATTTGAGGTTAACATTATCTAAATTCATCTTAAATTGTTGAAAATTAGTTGTGAAGTGAGATTTGACAGTATTGAAATTTTTTGAAGATCCAAATGATATATATATATATATATAATCATATTAAAATTAAATTTATACTCAATTTGATTTTTTTCATCGAGTAGTCCTTTATAAGCGGGTCCCATAAGAACTCCATTGCTGGAGGCACTCATGACAATGGTAAACAAGCGGGTTGGTGATGAGCAGGTTGACAAGTATTTGTTTGGGGCCCACCCAACGGGCCCTTACGAGCGCGAAGCACGTGCAGGAGTTTCTCTTTAGCACGAGCTGTTATCCCGAGTGAATTCATACACCAAAGGAAAGGAAAAGGTTGGGGAAGAAGAAAAACCTCCTCCTCGTTGCTCATTCAATCGCGAAGGATGTTGTCGATACGCTTCGCGTCGCTTCGAGTCTCGGCGCTTCCGTCGGGGAGATGGAAGAAGAAGAGGAGCGGGGGGATCGTCCCGGCCATTCTCGAGGCCAATCGAATGGTTCGCCTGGTCGCCCCTTGGCCAATCCCCTTTTCCGCCAGCCAAGACTCTGCTCCGGTATGCCAAAGGAGCCTTATCCAGACAAACTGAGAAAACTTTCGTAAATTCGATGGGGTTTTTACTTTGTTTCTTCCTTTCCTTCTTTTTCCTTTTGCAGCTGGATTACGATCCGTCAAGGGAGCTGCTAGGGATCGATGTCGACCCGCAGCCAAGGTTCGACTGTATTCTCTCTAGCTTTGCTGCTTTTCTTAATTTTCTTGCGTGTTGAATGATTAAAAAATTCGATTTTTGATAAAGTGATGTGCGATGAAATGGAAATCCTGTTGAACAGAATAATCATCATTGTATGTGGTTAGTGGAAATGTCCTCTTCGCGAGTGGTTTCGACTAAGCATTTATATCAACAGTACGAAGAATTTCCAAATGATGATGCTTAATACTCTTTACAAGGTTTAACGACTGTCCGGGAAATGAATGTGATGCAGAACTGGGTGAACATAAAAGTGTTCCGATAATGACGTAATTGGGTATTTTAACTTTGACATTTGCTTCGCATTTTATGCAACCTAAGTACTGCAAAGCTGTAATGAAATAATCATGTTGTTATGTGCAGAAAGTTTTTTGATGAAATTTCTTCATCCTCCTAAGTTACTTATTAGTCATTATATTATGTCTCATGCTGATAGAAGTTTCTTCAGGAGTGTCCATTCTGGTGCACAAAAGCTAAGATCCTGGTTTGGTCCAAATGGCCAGTACATCCGAGAGTTACCTTGTCCTAGTTGCAGGGGACGGGGTTATACGCCATGCACGGAATGTGATATAGAGAGATCAAGTTCAGGTTGCTCCCAGTGCAATGGAAAGGTGTCTGCTCTTACTTGTTCCTTGCGTTGTGAGTTCTTTTGTTAACATTAAATCACTTCAAATTGTATGCACACTGCAGTATTAAGTCTTATTAAATATGATCCATATACACACCAGCACCGTACGATCGATGTGCAGTATTACGTACACTGACACATCGATCTATTCTATTATCCACAGAGTCCAAAGTCCTTTGTTTAAACTAGTTTAAAAACTTTAAGAATGTTGTGATATAGTTCGATGGAACACATTTCAGTTGCTATATGGAGACTTTTCCTGATCTCACATCTTCACATTCTCCCTGACTTAAAGAGTCTCTCCAAAAGCTGTTCCTTTCCATGCTGATAGTGGTTGTATAGGCACATATTATGTACATAGGTTTACTATTTTCTGATGGACATGAGTTTTTTGAAAGCCAATCTAGATGTCACAAGCACTGACAGTATTTTAGATGACAACAGGGTATTAGAATCTGCCGACAGTGCTTTGGAGATTGTGTTATATGGGAAGAGTCGATTGATGAGCGACCATGGGAAAGAGCTCGATCTAGGTAAGTCTCCAAGTTATACCACTTAATTTTGCCCATGAAATATGTTTATTTAAATCATTTTGTTGGTTTTTGCCAGTAGTTAGATATATGTTGGAAGTTATGGCGTTTAAGGCTCATATGTAACCATAGGTGTGAAGGGGCTGCTAAAGATTAGAAGTTCATTAAATAGATACTTCAAATGGACATGAATATTTAAGGTTGTACATGGTGGGGCTATTCTATATTTGGTATATCTTGTGTGACTGTTGATTTAGTGGTCTTACAACTGAACTTACAAGGTGCTCCGAACCAGTCTACGTTTGGTAGGTTAGTCAAGTGCATTTCAAAGTGTACAACCTTGCATCTGAATCTGTGCAATCTGTAATAATTTCTATACTCTCCTTGAGTTTTCCAGTGGGGCTTGTCGCACATTCTTGATCTGTGTGGAATTTAATGTGCTCTTTTCTCATAAGTTTATCAACAATCTAATGGCAGTAAGTCTCTTACCTCTGTACGAGCAAACCATTCTGAACCATGCATATCTTAATTGCAGCTCTCCTCTGAAAGTGAAGGAAGACGATGAAGTTGACAAACTGGATATAAAGGTTGATGTGTCCAGAAAATCAAAGCGTACATACCAATCGCCATCACCTGAAGTCAGCTTAAAGATTAGCAGATCATTACGAGTTAGATTCCCTTCTTATGTTTAGTGCAGTGATACTTAACTGCATACATACCAATCGCTGCACCTGAAGTCAGCTTAAAGATAAGCAGATCATTATGAGTTAGATTCCTTTCTTATATTTAGTGCTGTGGTAGTTAACCTATCTTATTTTGGAAATTAACTTCCATTTTGGTGTAACATGGTCTTCACGTGACTCATTTTAAAGGTTCTGCATGTGCAAGCTTATAATTTCTTTATGACCTGCAGTTTATTATGTTATGTAAACAACCAATCCTTGTAGTTTTAGAGTTACGCTCTTTCTGCTGCACTGTAAGTCTAGATGTTTATAGCTGCCCAGTTTTGCTAGAGCTTTGACTCGCTTCTTATCTGTTTATATATATTGTAATGTGTTAAAATGCAATAATAGCTTTGTCAAGTTTGAAAAGGCAAGAAGATAACAGACACTCATTTCCATTTCCAAAGAATGAGGAAAATAAAGACCTCTTAACATGGATAATGTTTGTAAGGAGAAATGCTTTTTCCACCCACTTTGTCAAATATTCATCCTCTTGATGTGAACAAGTATCCTTCCCAACACTATCCGACCCCTATAATGTTGACAACTTATTTTCTTAATACTGTTTCTTATTATTTTCTTAATAATGTTTCATCAATTAATTATGTGACAGTTGATGAATTTTCTTTCCTTGGACTAGCTAACATTTATTATATCCCTGGTTGAGCTACTTGGATTGTTGTGTTTTTCGAGCTTTGATGCATGTGTTTCTTGTAAGCTTCAATCCTCCTCTAGCTGTTGGTATTGGAATTTCTGTTAGTTAGGGTGCAGACACTTATTTAGACATGCATGCTTTCTAAATTTGAATTGTCCAGTAAAGATTAACAGTGATCAATGTGGAAAGGAACCACATTGACGACCACAAATAGTTGAGAACAAAATATCGGCAGCACAAAAGTTATGAAATTGATGACCTATTTAGGCTTACTATAAACATCTAGATTTAGGGGCCTTTTTCAAAGAAGGATCGATGTTTGAGCATGCTTATTTTGACTAACTTGTGCTTGTTGCTTACCATTTTCCAATATCCTATGGTTGCAGAGCCTTAATGCTAAAACAGGACTATTTAGTAATCGCATGAAGATTATACATCAAGATCCTATACTACGAGCTCAAAGGATTGCTGCAATTAAGGTAATAGCTTAGGATTGCCGCAATTAATGTAATAGCTTGAAGTGTCACGTGAGACTTATTCTAAAAGTATGTGTGTTACAGTAATGTTACCTGGGATACCATATTCATTTCCTTATACAATAAACATGCTGATTTTTCAGAAAACAAAAGGAACTCCTGAAGCACGGGAGCGGGCTTCTGAAGCATCGAAAGCCTTCTTCCGTGATCCGGAGAATCGCCTCAAGAGAAGCATAGCTATGAAAGGTTCGTCCCCACAACATAAATCATTCTAGATCAAGCTTTCATAAGTTTGTTTTACTGGTTATGAGATCTTAGTCGAAGCAACTTAAATCCGGAAATAGTACCAGATCGTGTAGTCTCTCCCATATTTTCATACCCTATGATAAATCCTGTACCACTAATCCACTTACAAGGTTTTGTTGAGAAGTGTGCTAGAAATTGTGGGATCTGATGATGGGTGTTCCAGTCACAATGGCCTACTACATGAACAGATGGGACCTTGTCAACTCTAAACTCAAACTGCCTTTTGGCTGGTACTGCATAAACCCCCTTAGATCTCAACTCCTGTGTTCCATACAAAATGGTAATGATTTAGTGCCATCTCCAACAATAATAATTGGAAAGGAGCAACAATAATCAGGATTTACTGGTATAAAATTACGAGTAATAGCGAGATAAGTGGGAAATGGGGGTTGGAACTTGCAGTCTAGTGTAGGTTCCAGATGACACTAGAATAAGTGATGGGGTGAAGAGGAAAGATAATATGATAAAATAAAAGCTTATTACATGCATGTTCTTGATGCAGCAGCAGCTTTTGGGCACCATAGACTACCTTACCACAACACTGGTGCATCAAAAGTCAGATCAGGGCAAGAAAATGTTTATTAAATTGTTTGTTTCGGAGCAGCTCTCCCTAAAAACATTCCAATTTTAGGAGCTGATTAGTACTATTTTCATTATCTCGGAAATTGCTAATTTGTGACACAGACAACTAGAGGAAAGAGCGAGCAGTGGGCAAAACTTGAACAAACCTTTACTTCCAAATTTGTTCAGAAATTGCTGCAATAAGAGTCCTTCCTATGGATTCTTTCTTAGCTTTATGAACCTATCATATGATGTTTTGTTGAATGTTTCCTTTATGTTCCACAGGAGTAAAATTTTACTGCAGCATCTGTGGGGAGGAAGGGCATCGGAGACACTACTGCTCAACTCTAAGGGAGACTTCTGCTCCGATACGTTTCAGATGTCGCAAATGTGGGAAATTGGGGCACAATCGACGGACTTGTGGCAAATCGAAATCAGACAGAAAACCACAAAAAGGGAGCCAGAGTGCGTCGCGCCATTGCAGTTTGTGTGGCCAAAACGGGCATAATCGTAGAACGTGCACCGAATTGAATCAGCCAGGATTAGGCAACTCATCATGCACTGAAACCCCACTGATTTCTGTCACCAAAAGAACTTACTCATGCAGGTTGTGTTTGGAAAAAGGGCACAATAGCAGGTCATGCTCGAAAAGAGAGGCCATTTAGGAGGCGCATTGCTTGCAGTCTGTGCCATTCAAGTTTCTTGCTACCTTCCAATTGAGAAACCGTAAGTTTCCTCGTTTCTCTGCTCAACCATCATTAAGATCACTCTCACATTGCAAAGCTTACATGCTTTTCTAATATCCCAATTAGTAGCTCAGCATCATCTCACCTATTGTTGTTGCCTTCTCCAACACAGGCACAATGCTTGATGGAATCGAGCTATCGAACATCAACATGACTTGGACGTGTCAATGCTGCCCACCACTTGTATAAACGTTGGAGGAGTAAATGTTTAGTAGCGGAGTTGGTGCTACATGCTTTATGCTAACATGGGATTAGTTGATCACCACCTACTAAATGCTGGCGTTGGAGAGTCTTCGTCCAAATTTTACACAGGTCTCAATCCTTACCTTATCAAGTTTAGCACATAAAGGATTATGAATCCGAACCATGTAACAGCATAAGAATAATAGAGAACAAGAAACATGATCTAAAGCCCAAATTTGCGCTCTATGATGGCAGTGTTCATCTTTTATTACCATGAAGTCGAGACGAATGTGTTGGGGAGAAGAACGAAGGTGAAATGGATTGATTGCGGCGTTACGGAGGCGCCGGAGAAGGTGCAGAATGAGTGCGCGTCGGAGCTTCATTGGGACGCCTTTCTGGCCATCTTCAATTCAGCTTCGTGTTGGTTTCGTCGCCTCCGCCGCTCCTTCTCACGTATGGAGTTCTGCTTCTCGAGCTTCCAATTTGCATGGAACTGAGCGATGAAGAGGTCCGCCTTGTTGTTCACGTCGGGGCTCGGGCAGAACACCGACACCCCGTCCCTTGATTCTCTTTGCCGAAACCTCACCGTCTCTCCCCTAAGGGGAGAGGAAGGCGGGGACGGGTACTTTGAAAGGCTGGACTTTTCTGGTCGTCTCGAAGATGAAGGCAGGGGAGGCGGTGGCGGTGGCGGTGGGGGAGGGGGAGGGTGTAAAACTTGCTTCCTATGGTGTTGTGTTAGCGCGGGTGGTAGTGGAGGCGGTGGCGGTGGTGGAGAAGTTGCTGGGACTGAGTGGATCCTCCCGTTCTTGCCTCCCAGTTTCTTGCGGGAGAAAAGCTGGTTGAAGAACGCAGAAGGCAGCGGAGGGGGTGGAGGTGGCGGCGGAGGAGCGGAAGAAGCCACGACTTCGTATTGCAGGGTTGTATCATTGGGAGACCTCTTCGTCTTGCTCCCTCTCTTCTTCTTCTGATAGGACAAAGCGACAGTTGTCTCGATGTCCTTCGCCCCAGCAGTGCTCCACTTATTATGACTAATTATCTCCTCCGGCGGCAGCGACCGTACCGGCTGAGGTGGTGGGGGTGGCGCTGGCGGTGGTGTCTGAGGCTTCTCGAGTGGGAAGTCAGGATCTTGGTCCACCTCCCATTTTGGAATATTCCCGACGCTCCCTCTCCGACGCTGCGAGGTTTCCGACGCTGGTAACGACAGGTGAGACTTCATCGCGAACTCTGCAATCTGTCTCATTTCCCCGGCCGGAAACTTCTCCATGGTCTTCCTCCTGCTCGGCTGGGGCGGCATCGGTGGCGGCGGCGGTAACGACCGTGGATGAAGATTCTCCGAACTAAAGATCTCATCTTTGTCCACTTCCTTGTCCTCTTGTAACTTATCGACGTCGTTCCTCCTCCCAGGCTGGCGCTGCGACGGAGGCGGTGACTGTGGATGGGGCTTTTCTGATCGAAAGATCTCAGCCTTGTCCGCCTCCCTTCCTGGAAGCCCATCTACCGCTCTCTTCCCCGGACGCCGCCGCGGTGGTGGCGACGGCGGACTCGGCGGAGATCTAGATCTTGTAGAGGAGCTCTGTCGAAGAACGAACGTGACCACCGGAATCGTCTTCGGGTCCAGATACCCAAACCTCTGCCTCTCGCACCCCTCCGACTCTGACCTCCGGCGACAAAGATGGGCATCATCGTAGCAACGCCACCCATCATTGGAGGCGGCGCCAAATGTCGCTACTTCCGCCCTCAGATCGCCGTAGGAGCTGCTGCTCCGCATCACACGAATACCCACCGTGGGGGCGGCCTCCTGAAGAGACTTCTCAGCGTCGTCGTCGCCGCCAGAGCGGCGGCCGAGGAGGCCGCAGAGAATGGCGAAGAGGACGAGAAGTAGGTTGAGGGTATCCCATCCGTTCCTTACCACAATGATCCGGGAGCCACGGAACGAGGAAGAGAGGGAGCGAGGAGGGAGGAATAGGAGCACCAACACGGAGAAGAGCAGAACAAGAACAACCCATACCCGAATTCCAGCAACAGCAGCAGAAGCTTCTCTTTCCCTTACCATTTGGGAGCGAGGAAGGACAAAAAGATAAGCCTTTTGCTTTCTTCTCTTTCTCTTACCTCCTCTGCTGCTTTTATACACGTGAGAGGTTGGGATGATGTGGTTCTTTAACTTGAAAGCAAATTACCCGACGATTGTGGGAAATATAATATACCATCAGCTTTTTCATCCTGCAAGCAGATTCTTTTTGGATCCATCTATCAGCTTAAAGCTTGTAAGCTTTGACTTGACGTGTGCTTTGGAGTTGCAGGAAATGAGAGAGAGAAGTGATGACGCTACCGTGGTCGTTCTTAAGCTTTCCCCCTTGCTTGCTTCTGCTGGATTCCAGAGGGAAGTCGACATACTTTGTTCTCGTACTTTTGCTTTGTCGTCCACGGGAAAGCAGGCAACGCCTTCGACCACACCGGTGATCGCAGTCATGGCGTGACTTAGCTCAAAAGAAACAGCTCTTAGGGGAGATGCGATTTAGCTCGAGTTTATTGTTGTGAGAGAGGAGACCATTCACTGACTCTGATGAATGCTTGGGGGATGGCTGTTTTAGGCTGTGCGAGAAAGCTTGCACGAGAGGAATAGTAAAAGATCGCAGTCGAAGGGAACAGAGAGAGAGAGAGAGAGAAGAAATGGGGCCGGAGTTGGAGGTGTGCCTGACCTGCACAGCACTGTGAAGCTGTGGTCATAACTTCTACTAATCATTGACGAAAGAATTCATTTTATTGGATTCATTTGGTATACACTGACTTTCGAACTAATTATTTACAAATATTTTTTTCCTAATGCTTAGATATAATTAAGGATAAATATCTAAAAAAATTTTGTTTTTATTTTTTTTTTCATGCAGTGTCTCTTATTTTCTAAAAACAAGATTACCCTAGTCTTCATCTCGCTTGTTGTCGCCTTTATCCCGTCAGCTCGTTATTGTGTCTGTATTTATTAGAACTCTCCTGGTTGTAAAATTATTGTATCGATTGCCAATGGTTGAAATTGCACACTTGTAAAATTACCCTAGTCTTCATGTAGTGCTTTTATTGTCTTCGTCCTATCGTCGTGCCCCTGTCTACTAGGACTCTATCTACTTTAGCCCTTTGATTAGGGGAGCTATAATAACTCAGAGGAGGCATGGGCAATGCTTGACGCAATGGATCATGCAAGGGAGGGAAAGTTTAATCATAGTAGCCCCGTTCCCTTTTGATAAGGTCGACGACAAAGATGATAGGGTGAAGGCAAAGTTTTAGCAATGCTTCAACAACTATGAAGGACGACAAGAGTAGCAAATAAGAATGATGACATAATCGATCGTTGACATCGAGACGGAGGTCAACGGGACGAAGCCTAGGGGTAATCTTTTCTTTAAGTAAATTATAGGCATTGTACAAGAATAAAACAAAATCAGGTAATCTACTGGAAATTTATTTTTTTGAAGTTTTTTCTTTTGAAATTTGCCCTATAATTTATTATGTATAAAGGTATATTTATACCTAGTAGTACAAGATTACATATCCTTGCCCAACACTAGTCCTTCTAACCTGACCGACGACCTTATAGTACGTAGTTTATTAGCTAAATGTGATAGTAATCACATCAAATACTTGTGTAGATCTTCATAATTGTTGACACACAGCGAGTCAAATTATATAGTGATATCATGTCTTAAATTTTGTGCCATAAGATATTCAAATTCAGATTTAATTTGCAATTTAACTTACAAAACATAGCATACATTATCTCATATCATAAATCTTGTACCGTACTACTACTGTCTTCTTGTATCGAATGATAAGTAGCTATTAGTTCGATTAGGAAATCAAGTAAATGGGGCTGATAAATGTATAACAAGCATTTAAAGTGTATCAGCGTCCGACCTCCATATATCATAAATTTCATCAATTTCACTAAGACCGGTGACGAGTGATGAAGTGGACGATGTTTTGGTTAGCTCGACATGGTTCAGATATGTATGTGCAAGGTTGTTCAAGGTGCATCTAAGATGAAAACTTCGAGCTCCCAAGGTACCACCTACATGAAGACTGAGGTGAGGAGAAATTTCTCAACTTGATCCCCCTAACGCCCAAGTTAATAACTCATGGTGTATGAGTGCGGAGGCAAGTAGTCAAAAAAGGCAAAGCTCCTTTTCATTGTGTTGGAGATGAGCTTTTATACCTGATCATAAATTGATAGAATATTTGATGAAATATTCTAGAGGGAGGTAACGTTTAACCACCTCCAATAGTCTCCTCTTGACCTCTTGTCCATGTGGTCGATGGGGGGATTGCAACCCATAATTGTCGCTTGCCCACGTGGATAGACGAGTGGAAGGTGACATTGTCTTCTCCTTCTATCCTGGACACTACATAATATTTATGTATTAGATGACGATTAGCTGACGATATAATCCCTATCATTTGTCTCACCACCCAAAGGCATGGTTTGGGGCTCTTGCTAGAGGGGTCCAACGTGCTGTCATGGGCAAAATTGTAAATGAGATTTTCGACGTAATGCTATGTATGTCCGTGTCTTTTGGTTTGTTCATACTTTGCATAGCATGCAAAGGGCTGGCAGTAGGCTTAGCAGCCTCATTTTCTTTCGATATATAGTGGACCATTTTGGATCATTTGTTATGCGACCGTTCAGAGCTTATGAAGTTTGTTTGTAGTTTGTATTGATTATGAAGTATTTCCTGAAATGATTACTTGTGGATCCCGAGTGAGATATTTTCTCTAACCCGTTTTCTCTTTTATAGATCCTAAGGGACCATAGGAGGTTTCAAGGAGGTTGACCTTTACAGACGGACACGCAAGGGTGCCGCATGACTTATACAAAACCAGCTAAGTCTGTGATAATGCGACGTCTAATTCATCTGACATATCAAACTCATACCTCTTCGATCCATTACCAACCTTGTGGCATGTTTAGTTTGTCCAGTATGTTTACTCTATCGTGCACCTCACATCATTTGAAATGAGTTCATTTGGCATGTTCATCCAGGATCACCTCCTCCTATGTTGCTAATGGCAATCCATTATTAACTTGCTCCTTGTATCATCGAGGGATGCACATTGGTTGAACAAAGTCGAGTTTTTCAACCTCCATGCCTTAGGGAGAGGAGGGGGTCGAACTTCTTGACCTTCACACCTTGAGCACATTTTGTTTTGTGCTTGCCATGATAACGAGTTCATTTTGTGCGGGTTAGGATTTCCCGACTCATGCACCTTGGGTATATTTTGTCTTATGCCTCCTGATGTGGTAGGTTTCTTCGAACGCAGGTCGGGCTTTCCCAACTCATGCTTTTCGAGTACATTTTGTCTTGTACCTCCTGCCATAGAGGTTTATTCGGACATGAGACGAGCAAGTGGCTCAGGATCATCCCAAGAGGTGAGAGGCCCGGGTTGTTGAATAAATGCTAGTATTGCATTGATGTTTTCATGTCGAGGTGGATGCATTCATGTGCGGAAAGGGTGACTGTTGCCTCTCTTGAGTGAAAGTACTATGATTTTAGGGTAAAGTTACCTTACTCGAGCATTCATTTAGATGGTCAGTGGGTCGACGTTCCTATGATATTATGCACTTCTTCTAGTATCAAAATGATGAGGGAAGAAGTCGTTGACATCTTGGTCAACTTGACGTGATGTAAACCTATATGTGTAGGGTTGTTTGATGTGCTTCTAAGAAAGAAACATCAAACTCCTAAGGTGTCACTTATATGAAGTCCAAGGTCAAGAGAGATTTTTCAACATGATTTCTTTGATGCTCAAGTTAGTAATCCGAGGTGTATAAGTGCGTATGTGAGTAGTCAAAAAAGATAAGCCCCCTTTTCATTGTGTAGAAGATAAGCTTTTATACCTAGCTATAAAGGGATATGAAATATTGTGTGACCTCCGATAACTTTTCATTGACCTCTTATCCACGTTATTGATAAGGGAGAGATAACTCATAACCATCTTTCTTAAACCTTTGCTCACATGGACAACGAATGGAATGTAACATTATATTTTCCTTCCACCCCAGACATCATGTGGATTGTGTGGAATGATTATTAATCGATGATTTACTTCCAATCAATTAAAATACTTGTGAACTCTTAGATGGGATCGGAGAGGATTGTGTCAAAGAATAAAAGCGGAGATCTAACCCAATGAAATTACACGTGACAGTGGAAATTGTAATGAAAAATTTCATGTGAAGTGTACTATCGAATTCTGGTCAAAGTCAACAACGCCGATGAATTCCTTCCTACATCCACGGAGACAACGGCCGTGAGCGACTTGGGTAACGACCCAAGACGCGGCTCGCTCGCCGGCACCGCCCACGTGGTCGTAATTACGTGTGTCACACCAGCAAATCGAGGGTTAGAATGCCATTGACCGACTTAAGTCTTGACGACGCAGCAGCAGTCGAAGCATCCACCGATCACATCCTTCCGACGTGGGTTCCATGGCGGTCGGTCGTGCGTCGGTCTCCTCTTCTTCCTCCGGGGGTCAAATACCGTTTGCTAGCTACTCCGACTGCCATGAACCGAGGGGCTCCACATCACGCTCGCCCACCGTTTGGTTCCTTCTCTCTCTCTCTCTCTCACAGTCTCTTGCATTTAGTGTTGTCCTTCTTTGATGCAGCTAACATTGCAGCTTTTAATGAAAGCATTAAATGCGTTCAACTCATCCATAACATAGTTCTAAACAAGGTTTCTGTTGGTGCACATGCATCCTCTACTTATATTAATCACATTATCCCACTGCTTAATCTTTCTTCAGTACAACACTCCCGAAAGCTGCAATAAAGAACTCTCTGGCGATGGGGTGAGTCTGATCTTTGGATTCAGAAACCAGCATGCGCGCACTGTAAAACCCATCGGAAAACACTGTAAAACAAGCGACTACCAAACACCAAAACCATCGACTGCTTCGCTTATACATAGGCATCCCCATCCCCAGCTTGATTCAGTCTTCTGCCAACCTTCTTTCTGCTCTTCCAAGTTAGCTAAGGAGAAGAAAAGAGACATGAGCACGGTCACTCGTGCAGCTCTGGATCAGAAGCTGGCCATGGCCAAGCTCTGTTCCCACGGTATCTATATTGTTACCATTGCTATTGCTTGATCAACAACAAAGATAAAGAAGACCATTACGCTTCTTGCAAGCCCGCCTGACATATGGTTGTTGTTTGTCATCTTCCTTGGAATAACTGGCAGAGGGAGTGGTTGCCGGAGCGAAGGCCGCCGTCGTCGCAACTGTGGCAGCTGCCATCCCCACTGTAAGCCTCCTCTTCTCTACTTCATGTTCGACTGTGTTCGGCCATCGGTCGATGAACTCGGCTTCATACATCGTAGTTGGCTAGCTTTAAGATTCTCCCATGGGCGAGATCCAACCTTAATCCCACTGCCCAAGCCCTCATCATCTCCACAGGTTCTCGACACACTGCCTCTAGTTTGGATGCTTTCTTCTTGCTGTTTTGCCTATGGCTAAACTGCAGTCGCAGGAGCTGCCTACTTCATAGTTGCGGACAAGACGGTGTTGGCATCAGCCAGGAAGAACTCCTTCGAGGGAGGCAACATTAACGTGCCCAAGAACCCATAATTTGGGAGAGTGTCACCACATGTTATTGGTAAATAGTGAATCGATGCCTGTTAATGGCAGTTCTCTGCCCATCAGCACTTCATTTGCAGCAGTGTTCATAAACACGCCTGCATCAAAACTATTCACACTTGTCCAATCTTGTATCCTGCACTCGGGACACATTCTGCAAGCAATGCATATTATTTTGTGTGACATCGATCGATAATAGTTGCTCATGACACTCAAGTACACGTATGCTTCCAACTATGTGCAAGAAAAATTCAAGATACCTTGAAACCACTTTGTACAGACTCTGCACCATAAAATACTATACGTACATTCGCAGTATGCTAATTGACTTCAGCTACAAATTTCCCACGCCACTATACATGATAGAAGTCGTTTGCTGGTAGGCCAGTGTTGATTGTCTCCTATAATGAGAGGTTTGTTCCAATGTCTATATATCCAATCCGAGGAGCAACAGTGTAAAGTCCCGTTCAATCTTGGATGATGTTGAAGGAGAACTTTGACAGTAATTGTGGTATACCAGATATAATCGGGCCATATGTCTGCAAAATTGTGGAAAGAAGAATCACTGACCAATATCACTCGGCACCCAAATTTTCCAGTGCGTGCAAAATTTGCAGAATAGAATGTTTTCTTCATACCTCGCTATTGTCATGTAATTGGCACAACGGGACGGCAAGCAGCTTCAGGTTTCTTGGTACGATAAAATGCCGTGTCATTGGCAGCTTAACCAGGAAAAGCTTTGTGCATTCCTGTAGAGGGAAAGAACCACAAAACAAAAGTAATAAACATGGTTTATATACAACAGAGCAACATGAGATGGTGCACACCTTCGGTCGACGCAAATTAGGAGGCAAATATGGGAACCGTAACGTTTCAAAGTCTGACCTCCACCACATCCCGATAAGCTCGTCTATCTGATGAGAAATACTGAGAAGAATAAGAAGTTTGACAGCCAAAAGCAAATAGACCATATACCAATCAGCATCTAATGTGAATTGCAAGACCAAAACAATGCAAGGTAACCTGCCAGTCATCATTCGTGCCATTTTCTTCACTGGAGAGCTTTCTTGATAGCTTGCGTTTTAGACCTTCAACATCTAAAGAAAATCACATATCAATCTTCCTCGGTATCAATCTTATCAACAAACTGAACTGGAAGATTCATTTTGATAAATGTCGACAGAGGCATCTAACTAAACTACATTGCTGCAGGTTCTAGAAAAGGTATACACAATCTCCGGATTAACAGCATTTGAATCCATCATACGCTAACTGTTTGGTATTTAGAATTCGGATGCTTTTGGGAGCAGTCTAAGATGAACATGGATGGTTGCTTTCCAAACCAATAATCTTGAGGACATAACTACATTATTATTGGCCAAAGATAACCAGGTCATAAAGCATCAACTGTTGGTCAACGGCTGCTCCCTTTGGACGAAGGACTAAATGCATTAACTAGAAGAAGATTGTATTACATAGGACAGATAAAATTAAAATTAAACTTAATGTATCGAGATATGACATGAATTGATCTAAAGGCATCCGGTGTGAGATGAAAGAAAAGCTTTGGAACAAGTACGACAAACCTGATTCACCAGATCGAAGACGACCTCCTGGTAGCTTAAAGAAAGAGTTTCTCACTTGCAGTAATAGCACATGAGGGTGTTGAAACAATTCGACCTGCTTCAGCAGACTCTTAGACCCTTGTAATGAAACACATACCGCAGAATTCGTAGCAAGAGCTCGGTCTGCTCAACGGAAAGCTAAAAGCTACAGCTAAATGACGATGGATCACAAAATTAAGATGAAAGAATAATCATAGTGCAAAGTTAACCATATTAACGGTGGCAATGTAAACAAGTGCAGTTTACATCTCATATACGCACTGATGATCACAGAGATATTTCATTACGAAGATAAAGCAAACTGCATTAGTACTGGAGTGAAATGTCAGCATTAACAACAATCTACCATGTAAATGTCAGACTGAAACCAAGAAAACATTTCCACAAAAAATTAGAACAGAAATCCAGGCATAATAATCAGCTATTAATCACAGGCAGATGGAATGTCATGTCGGGAAACAACAAAAGAGTTTGTGAATCTTCATATCCATCTAACCATCTAATTAAATTTCATAACCCCTTAACCCAAAATAACAAATAAATAAATAAACAAAAAAAAAGAGAAATTTTTTTCTTCAGCTTGTAGCAGTCCCCTGTTACTTGTAGAACCATTTTGATAGGAAGCATGTTAGCTTGATCGAATAGCTTAATCAAACCCTAACAAAAAAAAAATCCCTTTCTTTTCTTTTTGTTCATGTGTGTGTTTATTCAGGTGTTCAAAGATCAAATTCCAAGACCCTTTTCCTTTCTAAGCAGAGAACAAAAGGATAAAGAATGAATAAAGGCGCATGTAACTCAGTAATCGATTCCACACAACTACAGGATGTCTCAAGATACGAGGAAGGGCGACAAGGGAAAGAACCGACCAGAAGGATCCCGTGGACGCAAGTCCTCATCCCACGAGCCGCGTAACTGCGAGAAACCCACCAAGTGTTTGTATTTATGCCGTAAAGAAAAATAATACATCAAATCGATTCACAATACGACCGCAAAAGAGAGACAGACTAGATTATCTCACATACTTAGCTTTCATCCGCTGGATTCGGTCGGCCAGGCAGTCGTCCTTGTCAGGGATGGCGTCTTTAGAACCGAAGAAGTAACGACTCAAGGGATATATCTCCACCACGTTGCTTCCACCGCCGCCGTCGCCGCTGTCGTTGCAGTGGAACGTCTCACCGTTTTCCATGGTGAATCTCCTGGGCGACAGAGCAAGCCTGAGAAGAGATGCTATGGGGGAAGGGGCAGCAATGTGGCGCGAACCTTCAGTCGTCTTCCGAGGACACTAATCCACAATAATAATTTAGGTAATGCCGTGTGTGGAGCTGTCCACGGAATTCCTTAAGAAAACCAACGGTGATCGACAGCACCGGACATCCCTTTGCTTTCTTGTTCTTATTGGCTCCGTGTGGCACGCGTGTCCGAACCAAAACAACTGATCCGTTAGAACATAGAGGGTTCGTTCAGTGCGCCCCCACACGCGTCTTCCTGCAGACACGCGACGACTTCGCCCAAAGCCGTTTCCACTCTGGTCCGCGACCCAACCACAGTGATAGATTAATTCGGTCAGTAAATTAAGTATAATTCAGATATCGTCGTTACTATTATTGTCATGCAAAATGTAATAATCGGAGAACAAATAAAAAAAAAAGCTAAAACTATAGCCATAAAAATCGAACCTAATTATCAAACTCAAAAAATCAGAAATCGAACCGTTAACCGGTCCAATTTACCCGTTAAAACATCTAATTTAAGCCGTCGATCTGATTTTGTAAATATAGTTAAGATTACTTAAATATCTTGGATTTAATTTTTATATTATCTGTTCAAGAAGGAAGTATTATAACACTTGGAACAAATTCATAGCTACGATTGCCATGGCAAAGTCCACCATAAATAATCCTTTATAATTTGCAACATAGATAAGCTTTGTCCTACTTCTGAAGAATCCCTTTTGATAACATCAATCAGCAAGAATCCTGACAAGAAAACATAATTTGCAACCGAAAGCTGTGAAGTTTACTGTTAAGTGTTTGAGCCTATCTCATGAAAAATGAAATTACAAGATTCTGACCACCTTCATTAGAGATATGAACATGGCAATGTTGTATATAGTATGTGTAAGTGTACATTCCTTTAAGCCCAGAAATAAAGAGATGGGCTAACTCATGTGTCTAAGTCTAAATAGCCACCTAGAACTCAAGTTCTCATGTACATGGTTCTATGGGGAAGTCCAACTTACCACCATGACTATTTGTTTTTGAACTTTCGTTGTGCTTTTAGATCCACCACGATGATGGTGATGTTGTCCTTGCTTCCTTTCTTGAGAGCAAGCTTTGACAGGCAGTCTGCAGCAGCTTGAGCTGCAGGATCAGCTTGTTTACCCCTTGGAGTGGATGGTGGCACAGGACCATTCTTTTTGTGCCAGAGCAAGATCCGCCTGCGGGCTACATCGCACACCTCTTCGTTAGACATGACATCCCACAAGCCATCGCTAGCAACAATAAGACATTCATCCTCTCTTGCACGTTGGACAAATGTAATTTCTGGCTCTGGAATGATCCATGGCTTCAGGTACCGATCCCCTGCATACGGCAGATCAATTAGTCACTGTTTTCGGGCTTTTAATCTATGCATGTAAGAAATAAGAGGACCAGACTCGTGGATGCTCTTAGATAATTCCTATGCCTACAATAACAAGTTTAGTAATTCTATGAACCAGTGTTCGACAGCCCAAGTGCAGATTTCCTTCTCAAGCGAAAGATATACATCACAATATCTGATCATGTTTGTGATATGAATGTTATTCGTAATATACTGTACTGAAACATCACAACCACACCTCAGAGATCAGTATATCTGTCACCAATCCATAAACTAGTACTTTAGAATTTTAGCACAAATTCTATTCCAAGATGCTTTGAGTTAACTGAACAAAGAAAACATAACTGAAACTGCAAAATATAGTAGCCCCGTTATTGGATCGCCCCATTATCAACAATTTTAGCATGAGATATACATAAAAAATAATTGATGGCAGTTTTCAGCACAGGTAAGAATACTTCAGACTGATATGGAAGTGTTGGTCTTACAGAACCACCAAGTTCTAACATCACCAGGAAGCCATTTCAAGCCACATGAGCCTGCATGCTCTAGGGAAACATTGATCAAGTGAACATGCACATTGTTTGTCACACTCCATACACACAAAATCACAGCATTGGAAAATGGGCAAGAGGGAAGTTTATGTATCATGCATGACAAGGTTTTTTACTTCAAGGAAGAAACAAATGAAAAAATACAATCTATGGAATCCAGTGCCCTATAAGTTAGGATGATTTTTATGTTATTTAAAAATGACAAAAAAATCAAATTTCATTCATGCATAAAGATGACTAGGTATTTTGCTACCTAGTAGTATTGTGAGGTTAGAAAATGAACATATGCATAGTTTAGGACCACTGAAAAGCTCACAACAAAGTATAAGGGTGTTCACGTTATATGGCATTTTTGCCTATTTTTCCTAGGTTAAGTCCAACATAATGCACAGATTGTTCATGATATTTGTTCTCACAATACAGAAATTGCAGATGTACCCTCCTCCTCAAAATAGACAAAATTAACTCTTGTTTTTCAGTGACCACCTATCTCTCTCACTATATATATATTTGTATATATATATACATATACATATATACATGTATATGTGTATATATACATATACATATACATATACATATATACATATACATATATACATATACATACATACATATATATGTATATATATATATATGTATATATATATATATGTATATATATGTATATGTGTGTATATATATGCACACACACACACACACATTCACCAACTTTGGCAATAGCTCCTATATAATACAATGAATCAACAAGCTATTCATTAGGCTTGTTCAGCTTTCAATGTTTGAAGCTGATGTTTTGTTATGGGCATCCCAATGCATTTGAACTGTCATAAAGTTTGACAAAAACAAGCATGATCATCCACACTGTGCAAATAGAACAATCCAATTATTACAGAATGGTAAACTTAATGAGTTAACTCCACTGCTAGTAACAGATTTATAAGAGAGAAAGATAAATACCAATTGAACGTGACATGGCAAGAACACCAAATACACGATATCCATTCCACTGTATGACCTTACCACCCTGAGCCTCGATCCTTGTATACTCATCTTCCCTGTTAGGCTAAAGAATAAAGTAGAAAATTGGCTTGTAGTAGAATAAATTTTAAATGTAATCTTGGAGATCCATAGTATTAAAGTTTAAAACATAATCTTACTTTATGATCCACTGATAGAGGCATTGGTTGTTTGCCACGGCAAAGTACTGCCCTTGAATCCCCACAGTTTGCAATGATAATGTGCGATGAGGAGATAACAGCAACCACAGCTGTCGATCCTACAGTGTCTGGGGCAACAGGTTCTAATGGTACATTAGGACAAGGCAGGTTACCTTCGTTGGGTGCTTCGGCTGTGCTTCCCATATTTCCTCTGCTTCCTTTCCCTCCAACCTCATCATCAATTTTCTGGAAGCAAGCAACGAAGACCTTCTCCCACTTCCTCTTCCAATTGCTACAACTTGTGCCTCCCGAATCTTTAACCAAACTCCTCAATTGGTCTATCAACACAAGATGGAGATGCTCACGACAGTAGTTAGCGACCTGCAATATTAGAACAAAAGGCAACATAAGAACCAAAGATCTTTGAAGTTTTCACTCAGGAAATTGGACAGCAACCAACTGTGGAATTGAATGTTCTGACCAAAACGTGAGTACCTGGGCACCCCCATGGCCATCATATACACCAAAGAAGTGCAATGGCAGGCGGATCACATCTGGGTCTAAGTCATCCACAATCTGATCACCGGTAAGCAACCGAAGTGGGACTTCGAAAAAATTAGGCACCACAACCACAGCATCCTCCATCTCCGGCCTTCGCCCACAAATCGTTATGCATCCCCAAAGGGGCATACTTTCCATCAAGAACATGCTCTGCGAGCGGCCGGCGCCACCACCTGAACGGCTTTGTGGGGTTCCGTACTCAACAACAGGTGTTATGGTCGCATCAGGATCAACCATGCTTACGGCTAGGAGTTCCACTGAAGCCGACACCGGCACAATCTCAACAAGGCTGTTTCCTGCATCAACAGAGGAAGGCGTCCCCATCTCACAAGAAGAGTCAGAAACCGAGAACTCGTGCATTGCGCAGCTTATGCTGCTGCTATCGCTAACGACAGAACAAGAGCTTTCGACCGACAATCCAGGCTCGACGGATGTTGAGTCCTCCATGTCACTCTCCGTAATCGGATCATCCCCGCCCCCGTCCTCCTCCAAAGCAGCCGTCGGCGCTGCCGCCTCGATTTGCTCAACAACACCGACCGAATCAGAACCAGATGCTGCCATGGGACCCGAGAGGAGGTGCTCAGCTTCTTCGGCAGTTCGTTTGCGGTGAGCGATCTCGACTGCAGCGTCGCAGAGCGAACTGCCTACCCCGGATGGCAAAGAAAGCGCGGGAGGCATCTCATCCATCCACTCCCCCACCTCCCCCACAAGCGCTGTGGTCGCGGTGAAGCCAGTCACTGCGAGACGTGGCGCGTGTCGACCTCACGAGTCACGCGCACATCCCTAACTTTGTCGAAGATCCGTTCCTGCCGCCGCGGCCTCGTCGCTCTCTAATTCACGGGTCACGCGGCGTTGCCTCCCGTGCCCCAGAGACCATGACAGCACCATCCAACCAACCCCCTTCCTGTATCAGAGGAAGGATTATATTAAGACCGGAAACAACAATTACAAGCAACCCAAACAAATCGAGGCAGTCTCCCTACTCAATCAGGGCAGTCACCAGCATACACCCAAAGAAGATAAAGGAAAGGAATTGATGTGTGGCTATGTTCCCCAAAACGAATCTCACTGCTGAGAGGTAGAATATAAGCAGGACAAAAGGATGGGGTGGGCGAAATCGAGAACCTTTGCATTATCATCTCTATTGCACAAGCAAACGCTCCGGTGGGGGTGCTCGGCATTGTCTCAGTTCCCTGGATCTGATGGAGGCCTCATTGTCTCGATAATGAGAAGGAGATGTGGAACTTTGACAAACAAGAGATGCACAGAAGAGAGAGACGGAGAGAGAGAGAGATGTCCGAGGAAGCCGATGTGGGAGCGTGAAACGGCCTGTTGGATCCAATCCCTTGTACCGAATCCCCCAGAAACTCTCTCTTGTGGGCTCGTCTCGACACGTGTCCCTTCTCGTACCGCGGAAGGGCCCCGCGAGAGCGCGCGTGTTCCTCTTCTCTGTGTGGGGCCCGCGGGCTGCTCACGTTTTCGCTGCACGGTTGCGGGCCCCAAGTCCCATCGGGTCCGCGTGTTCCGAGGACAGTCCTCTCTCCTGCTGGATGCTCACCACGTGGCCACGATAAGAAACTTCACCGAATCGGATCCCATACTTCGCGCAGCCGGACGAACGAATCACGTGACCACGTGGTCAGCGGTCTCTTACCTTCCACTGCGGCCACCGTAACCAGTAGAGGAAGTAGCAGGGGCCCACATTTGACGACCCTGACGTGGACGAAGTGATTACCGGTAGGGAAGACTCACGGCACGAGTCAAGGAGTCGGATTTGAAGGCGCCAGTGACCGGAATAAAAGCTGTAGTACGACTGAAACACCCCTGAAAATTTCAGGGGTGATTTTGGTCGTCCAAAGACTAATGGATCATTAACATCTCTTAATGTATCTATTTGTACACGATTAGGATGCTTTTGTCTTCTCCAATCATTTCTTTCTGATGATTACTACTAAAGCATTATTGTGTCGTCACTCGTAATAGCCGAGTGTTCTGTCATGTCCATGGAGAGAGCAATTAGATGTAAAGTGTAATTACCAGCTCCTTTCAACATATCCATGCACCGGTGCAGGCCCGATTGTGCCCTGAGCTTCGTCCTAGCTTCAGACGCCCTCTTCCCTCAGCTCTCCACTGTGTCCGTCATAGACTTCCGTGGCGTCCCCACGTTTGGTTTGCTCATCGTCATCTCGTGGTCAGCAGAAACCAGCACGAACTTCCATTAGCATCTGATGTGAAGCTTCAGCTAAGCGTGGCATTTGTAATGGTGATGCCTACGAAAACGGATTGACGAGAGATCTGGCTCGCCGTAACTGTGTTGCCCGTTGCTGCTGTAGCTGCTTCTGCTGGTGGCAGTGCCGTCGCTGCCGATGGAGCTAGATTCATAAGCATGCCCAAGATTCCTTAGCCGGTTCAACTCCGGCAGCACCACCATCCCAAGATCCGGCCGGTCCTTCCTCCTCGGTTCTGCGCACTTCAGAGCGAGCTTGGCGAACCCGAGCGTCTCCTCCACTGGCCAGTCCTTCACGGTGGCGTCGAGCATCTCCATGAAGGTTCCCCTCTCGATGGCTCTCTCCACCGGATGCGTGAGGCCCATCGGCGGCTTGGCGGTGATGATCTGGAGAAGCAGGATGCCGAATGAGTATATGTCGGATTTGGTGCCGAGCATGCCCGTCTGCTGGTACTCCGGGTTGATGTAGCAAAAGGTGCCGGCGGTGGATGTCATCACGTACCGGCTGACTTGGTTGGCGACCGACGGCGGGACCAGAAGCGCCAGGCCGACGTTGCTCATCTTTCTCAAGTAGTTGCGGTCGAGGAGGATGTTGGCCGGCTTGAGGTCCCGATGAACCAGCGGCTCTGGCTTGGCCTGGTGCAGAAAGAGCAGAGCGGTGGCGATCTCAGCAGCAACCTTGCCTCACCGGAAGGTGCGGTCCTCAAAGCTTCCGTTGTCCATCTTACTATTTTCTTAGCGCGACTTGATTGAGTCATCAGGATCTGAGAGTTGAGAGTTGGCCGAAACGGGCGACTGCGGAGGAAGAACAGCGGTAGTAGGTGGAGTTCTCGCCGTCCTTACGGTTGTCGGCTTCCCTTTCGATATGGCATACAGTGCACAAAACTCTGGTGCCAGTTTGGTCACGTATGCAAGTACGTCAGGATTCGTAAACTTCCGGCAAAATGAAAGCAGAGACTTCCTTTGTCTTCGTCACAACAATAATTCCATGGATTACAAGGTTTGCATTGCAGAGGCTACGGAGAAACGTAGATACTTCGTCAGTGCATTTCTGCTGGAGGCACCAACAACGATGTCGTGGACGTAGTTTGCGTTGATGTAGTCGATGATGGCCTTGGAGATATCACTGTCTTCCAGGACTACCTCCGCATCTGCTCCTGAAGACCATCGACAAAGATCACGCAGCTCTGAGCTTTGAAGGTTTTGTTTGCTGATCGATTTGGAGCAAGAGAAAGAGTAGACCTGAAAGGTTACCCACCCCTTTAAGAGCGTATCATCCCCTGTAGGGGAGAAACAATTGTGATATCTCATTCTCCGCCTGTTCCCGGGCGGCGTCCGAGTTGGTTTCGGCTGCAGCACCCGTCAACAATGATTCATCGTCAACGTAGCAGGAGCAGAGGACGGAAGAAGAAGGTGTTAGGTGAGGTGAACTAGGTGTTGTGTGAGCGAGTAAAGAGGGAAGTGTACCTATGGTTAGGCTTGGCTTCGACGTGAACGAGAATGAGGGCGTCATTGCCATGGAGAACATGGTCGACGGTCCGTTTCACCGCCTGCTGGCTGTTCTTGTCTTTGTCGATGGCCACCACCGTCGACGCCGACGGACGCCCGTCATCGTTGCCTTAACCGCCGAGCATTTCCGCACTTGTTCCCGAAGATGATGAGACGAAGACGACAACGATGATGGAGAAGAAAGGCGGCAACTTCCTGCCCCTCTCTCTCTCTCTCTCTCTCTTGGTTGACATAATTATCGAACTCGGGTAATCGGGTCGGATCTCTAACCGCCTCGCTGCTTGTCACAGCCTCTACGTAAGGATAAAACTTCTATTTATCGGATCCGGGTAATCGGGTCGGATATCCAACTGCCTCGAACAAACCCATGTTTCCTCGCTCCTCGACGCAAGCCACGGGCGGAGGCCACAGCAATCCCATGGTCGCTGCCGCTCCCTTCCCTTCCGGAGCAGACGGCGAACCGACAGTTACCCCGGACCTCGACGCTTCCTTGCTCGATCGTTGATTGCCGCATTCCATCCTCCAGCAGCGGCGTCGTCGATGGCCACTCCAATCCGCCGCAAAGGTTTTCTTGCTTGATAAAGAAATATTGTTCCTTGATCGAACCAACATCTTGCTTGAATCATAATCGTGGATCGTCTCGGCCCTCAAAGGACGGTCTCGACTTCCAAGAGGTGTAGTGATAGTAGCATCGAAGAAAGGTTTCATTTGTCCTCCACAGTGTCTGTTATTAGAGTAATCATGCTTTCAAGAGATTACTGTCTTGTAGTATACAACCCATTCTCTGTATAGCTGTGCTTCCTTCCTGCTTTATTGCTTCTTTTTGTAGCTATTTATCTGAGGTAAACATACATTGTTGAGTTAATGTCTTTTTGTCTAGCACCAAAATGTACTTATTATCAAAGGAGCAAAACTTTTAGCTTTGATTCAGCCTACTTAGCCCCAATCAGGTTCTTATATTCATTAGGAGTAATAGGACTATGTCCATTTCATGTGGTAAAAAAGGTCAATTTGGATTTTTGAATTGTTGACAAACAAATCACAGTTCTACTTCAGATATGCATTGCTCCATAGAATAATAGTGCTTGATCTGAGGTTGGAAAATGTTAGCTCAGTGTTAAAGTTGGTTTGTAGACTGGTATTGATCACTGCACCAAGCCAATTTATGATTCCCAGTAATTGCATCATACAAACTCTTGGACAGAATTTTCTAAGAGTATGTTTACCTTTCATGAGCAGAGGCCTGAGGGTTTATCATTAATCACATCTCTGGTAAAACAGACATATATTGCAGGGGTTTGCTGGAGAAGCACCTTATGCTATATTGTCATCACTTGGAGCCTCTACTACTAGTTTGATTGTCAGCAATTTTATTATTTTGGGGTGGGGGGGGGTGTAGTTATTTTAATTCTCAAATGATCAATCTTGGGTAATAGCCATCTCTAAGGTCATTAACCAGCAATGCTATTGATGCTTTGGTTTTTGTCACCTATTTCCATACAGTATGGCCTTTGCACACAGGCTATATATGCATGGCTTGTTCTGTCACCTATTTCCAAACACCAGATTGTTTGTGTAATAAGTGGTTCTTTCTATCTTGACATTTATGTTGGTGATGTTTCTTGACACATTTTTTGGTTTTGCAATTGTTAGGGCTAATTTCTCATCAGCACTGCAAAGTAGGAAGTTTTAGTTGAAGGTTTGATAGTTTCTGCAATAATACATGAGAGAGGCTTTGGTGCATGAGGATTCCATTGATGTAGGATCTGTGGTGGATTCATGTCTCTAACCTAATTACCTTTGCTAGCAAAGAGGTTTATGTGACTAAAAACCAGTCCATGAGGGTCTCATTGATGTAGGATCTGGGTTGTATCAATGTCCATGGTCTTGAAGAGAGATTATTTATGTTACTTGAGTCCTGATCACTCAAATTGCAAATCAGCAATTTTAGTGTAGCACACAAGAAAACATTGAAATCAAGAAGAGCAGTGGGTCTATGGTTTGCTGTTGTTGATACAGGTAGTAGCATATCATCAAGACTGATGAGCCTTGACTTGGTTATAAAATGATATATACAGTATATTCTCAAGATACAAGGAAACAAATGTAGGCTCACAAGAAATACTATGGTTTATGTTTATTGTCAATGATCAATTATCATTGATCTGTCTGACCTAATGCAGGTCACAATTGCATCTCAAACCCTGAAGTTTCATGAACTAGAGTTTTTTTGGAAACTGTGAATTTTTTACACTGTATTGACATGAATGAGGTTCACAAGGCTGTGCTTCACATCTATTAGCATATTTAATTAGCAGGAATAAGTGCTTGGAATGTTGTTCATGCTTAATGTCTTACCTTGCAATGAATCCTCTGCTCTTCTCTCACATTTTTCTACTCTCTGTCTTCTCCTTGAGAAAGAACTCATGAAAGCTGCCTGGTTTTGCAATGTGGGCTTCGCAAGCAGTCTGTGCTTCACCAGATTAAGTAGCTGATGGTTTGTCCGGATGGATTACATGGTAGTTTCTTGGACACCCAGATGAATCAGATCGAGGACATCGACATGAAGAAAGAGAGCACTCTAAAGCATCACTCAGTCACAGGTTCTGTTTTCTAAACCAAACTTGGAATCGTATTTTGTCTAATCAAAACATGTGTTCGAGTGTTCCTTCTTCATGTTGTCAGTGATGCAAAGAGATGAAGATAAAGGTGGTCGGCTGACATGGTCTGTTGTTGATGGAGAACCAAGTATCTCCTGGTAGCCAAAGCAACTCCTGTGAAGCTTTTCTCTAGTGGAACCGAGAGGGGGTCCAAAAACGGTCCCTTCCTTCCTCTCTTTCCAAAAGTTGGAAGGAGATGACCAAAAAAATCCACTTGCACCAGAGGAAAGAAGATAAGATTTTGCAGTGCCCGAGAAATAGTAGAAAGATTTCTTAGTACCAGCATTGATCTGATCCTGTGAGCTCCACGGCTCAGGCATATCTTTGTGAGCTGTCTCATCAAGCCTGAGGCGAAAAGTGGCATCAGAAGCTGGAACCTCATTGAGGACACAGAAGAAACTTTTGATCCCCTCCTCATGAACAAATCCACCGCAAAAGTAGGTTCTCCTGCAAAATGATCAGACGGGAAAGCCGTCACAGGAGCTCTTTCGATGGGATGCAAGGGGTGAGACAAAGCTGCGAATGGATTGGATGTCGGAGACATGTGATCCATCACCTGCAGGCTCTGATCCCCAAGGGGATCTCAAAGTATCCATCTCCCATGTCTCTTCCTTCGAGGCCTATTCCTGTGCATCGACCGACATGTGAGATCTTTGAGACCAGCGACACCATCCTCCCATCATGGCCGGCTTGCTTCCATGCACGTGCGCTCCGGCACAACGAAGCTATCTATCTGCAGCAGCTGACATTGTTGCCGGCTTGGCCTCGAAGTGTGATTATGGACCGACACAAAGATTCACATGGATCGGTTCTGCTAAGGGTCTTCCTACATCAATGTGGTTCTGCAAGAAGCGTGCATCTGACTGTGGTAGTAAAGGTGAAGATTTGTTTTGGAGATCGATTAACAGTACATGCATCAGAATGCAACCAAAAGTTTCAATGATTCGACAAATCTACAGCAAGTTGGCTTCACTGCAGAGCAAAGAGGTCATCTTATCTCCTCAACGTCTTATCCAAACTCAAAAAGTCATCTTCTCCTCCTCTGTTCGAATGGTTTTTAACACCCACCTCCTCTAGTGACTATGGTAGGCACTGACTTATGAGATTTGACAACAGCTACTAATAGGTCATGGCAGCTATCAGCTGGATGCTCTGTCTCTGATCATTGCAGATTGCAATCCAGATAACATTTTCCTACTTGAAAAGATGGCATAAGTAACATGGATGAACAGAGCTTGGCCTGCAATGATTGAGTCCATCGTGGTACTGATGACAATCTAACATGAATGTTGTAAGTAGCAGCAGATGGAGTTAGCAGGAAAGCGTATGACGTAGTATTCCGATATGCTTTTGTTTTCCTCCTCCATTTTAGTTTGTTTCGAGCAAGACAAGACTAAAGGCTAACTTTCTCTGTCACCTGTTTCACAGGGTCTGCTCTGTGCTCGCTACGCTCCGAGGGTTGTAGTGTTAGATCCCAGCATGATGGAAACCGAGTCGGTCGTCCATGGCGATCGCAGACGGCTCTTCTTTTGAAGCTATCTCTTGTTGGACCCCATGGGCAATTGCAGTCCCCTTTCATCTGCTGGATCTACCTCGAAAAGTAGAAGAAAACAGTGGTTAGCATTCGAGCCCTGCGCAAATGGAGGCTTTCGTGGTGACGACTGGTTGTCGGCACACCTTCCCGGTGGTGGGGGAGATGAGACTCCTCCGACCACACGCAATGTGTGGGTTTGGAGTGAAAACACAGAGGAGCTTTCTTCTTGTTTTAAGACAAGTTGCGAAGATGTTGGCCCATACATGGAGGTGACAAGGTCGACGGCCATGTGCCCCTTTGAGACCGCCCGCCAGCCTACCATATGCCACTGGCTGCAGGACTTCGTTACAGCAACCAAAGCACAAGCGAAGA